TTACTATCAGCTTTCCATGGTAACTACTGTAGGCCTGTGTACCCAATGAGGGAATTTATCATACTCTCAATCCCCCTCCAGTCCCTCCTTGTACTTTAGACACTAGCCATAAAGACTCAGTTTCTTGATTTTGTACAGAGGACCAAATGCCACCATTGTGCTCCTCCCAAAAACTCCTTTTGTAGTAGAGAACTGGGGAGCTAATTGGAAGGTACTGGCTGAGCATGGCACAACAATAGTTCTGGCTCAACCTCGATATCTATATGCCAATATGTGGTAGGAAGGGCAGGTACCAGGGCACCTACTATCAGAATTGTTTCTCCCAACCACACTAGCCCTTGGCATTGTAACTCTTGGAAAATGGGCTTGCCTTTTATTGCTAGAAAACACCTGTATATAAAATTTAACTGTGACCCTGAAAATGTTTTAGGATGTTTCTACCAGGTTAGCCCTCCAAAACAGAATTGGGTCACGGTTTGTACTTCTCAACCCTATCTATTTTTAGCAACTCCAGGGACAGCCCAGGTTTTTTATAATGAATCAATGAAAATTTATTCTTTGCATGTTCCTGCTGGTTCCATATATGCCACCTGCCTTACTCAATTATTACTCAATTGGGTAATAATTGAGTAATATCAGTATTACTCAATTACTCAATTGGGTATTAATTGAGTAATATCAGTATTACTCAATTAAGTCTCACTATGGTCTATATAGTTAGAAGACAGACTCAAATATGGGTGCCAGTTAATGTAACCAGAGAATGGGAAGATCCCAATAGCATAGAAGTACTTGATGGTTTGTTGGCACCCTAATTGTATTCATTGTCTCTGCTATCGTTGTTACAGCTACTGCTGCAGTGGCAACCACTGCCCTCATTGATTCACTTCAAACTGCTCATGCTATTGATATTCTCTTAACCAGTTCCACCTTAGAAATGCTTCAACAGGCCCAGATTGATCAAGAGATCCTGACTGCTTTTCTGTAGTTGAATCAGCCCTCAACTGGATCAGCAAGTGCCCGGATACGCTAGTGACCCGTCAACAGCTGACCTGTGATCCTGGTTTCTCCAAACTGTGTGTCACCCCACTCCAGTGGAACTCCAGCCAATACTCCTGGAGTGATATTCAACATTGCCTAAGAGGAGCTTTTTTTCTACCAATTTAAAGGGACAGATTAATAAATTGCAAATGGAATTGCACCAGTAGTTGCAGTACATTCAATGCTTGACTAAGCAGATTTTTCAAACACTCTATGATAATCTCATTGCCTAAATCCAGAAAAATTGGTTTGATAGACTCAACCTGATACTGTGGGTCCTTGGAGCTGCTGGTTGTTTACTGCTTCTACTAATTCTTTGTGTATTTTGGTGCATTTGCAAATTATTTGCCCAGGGTCATATAAGAGACCAGCAAGTATCAAGTTTTGTGGGACCCACCACACAGTTCTAACTTAAAAAAAAAAAAAGGTGGGGAATTGTATGGAACCGGTTTGTTTGAAAATGGTGAATGTGACTCAGTCCTGCATTGGAAAGCCGACAGGAGCAAACTGGTGGGCAGGAGCCAGACCCTCAGACTGGTTTTCCTGTGGGAACCAGGCCCAGAAAATGCATCCAGACCGTTTTGGCTTGCTCTTGCTAAAACTCCCTCGCCCTGGTCTGAAACAGATGTTTATTGCCTATCTTTAAGGTAATTTCCAAAGCCTGTATAAACTTTCCCAAGGAGAGACTGTAATAAGCTCACCACCTTTCCCTCCTGCATTTGTTATTTTTGTTTCCTTGATTGTACCTAAAATGTAGAGAACAACATTCTATGTAATAGATAATAAGACTGGAGAGAAACAATAAAAGCCTGTGCAGGCAAGGGTTGGGGTGCTCTCCCCTTGAGAGAAGCAACCATAGGACTCTCATCTTAAGAAAGTACCTGTACCGTCCCTTTTTCTCCACAGGACTTTGTAGTCTGTGAGTTTGTTCATCACATCCACAACACAAAGACCCCGCTGGCCAGAGTCTGCATCAAAAGTTGTTACATTTACTGATTTCAAAACTTACCACAAATCTGCAGTAATTAAAACAGTGTGGCACTTGCATAAACACATACATATATGACAACACCAATGGAATAGAATGGAGAACCTCTTGTATTAATGGTCATATGATTCTCAGAGAAGATGCTAAGTCCATTCAGCAGAGAAGGACAGTCTTTTCAAAAGTAGTACTGGAAAAACTAAACACCAACATTTAAAAAATGAAGTTGGAACATTATACTCTACACAAAAAAGTAACTCAAAATGGACTAAAGACTTCAATGTAAGACCTAAAACTGTAAAACTCTCAGAAGATAATATAGGAGAAAAGCTTTACGACATTAGATATGGTAGTAATTTATTGGACATGACAGCAAAAACACCAGTAACAAAATAAAAGATTGAGAAAGTGGACTTCATCAAAAATAAAAACTTCTGTGCATCAAAGGACACTATCACCAGAGTGAGAAGGCAACCCATAGAATGTGAGAAAATACTGGCAAATCATATATCTGATAAGGGATGAGTATCCAGAATATATAAAGAATTCCTACAACCCAACAGCAAATAAACAAACAAAAAAAACATTAAAAAAACAGCAAAGGACTTAATTAGACATTTCTCCAAAGATACAGAAATGGCCAAAAAGCACATGAAAAGATGCTCAATATCACTAGTCATTAGGGAAATGCAAATCAGAACTACAAGGAAATACCACTTCACCCCATTGGGATAGCTTTATAAAAAATAATAGAAAACAAGTGTTGGCAAAGGTATGGAGAAATTAGAAACCTTGTTCATCACTGGTGGATATGTAAAATGGTATAGCTCTATGGAAACCAGTACAGTGTTTACTCAAAAGATTAAACATAGAATTACCATATGATTGATCAATTCTACTTCTGAATATATACCCAAAAGAACTGAAAGCAGGGACTCAAACAGATATTTGTACATCCAGGTTCATAACAGCATTATTCACAATAGCTAAACGGTAAAAGCAACCAAGTGTCTATTTAGACATATGAATGGATCTTTAAAATGTGATGTATCTATACAATGGAATATTATTCAACCTTAAAAAGGGTTCACCCTGATCAGTGTGGCTCAGTTGGTTGGGTGTTGTTCTGCAAACCAAAAAGTTCCCACTTTGATTTCCAGTCAGGGCACATGCCTAGTAATGTGTATGAGAAGCAACCAATTGATGTTTCTCTCTCACATCGATGTTTTTCTCCCTCTTTCCTTCTTCCTCCCTTACCCCTCTCTAAAAATAAATAAATATATTTTTTATAAAAGGAAGGAAATTCTGACACACGCTACAACATGAATAATGTTGAGGACATTATGCTAAGTGAAATAAGCCAGACACAAAAGGACAAATAGTGTATGATCCCACTTATATGAGGTACCAGAGTCAAATTCATAGAGATGGAAAGTAGAATGGTGGTTTCCAGGGATGGAGGGGAAGGAGGAATGGGGAATTACTGTTTAATGGGCAGAGTTTCAGTTTGGGAAGATGAAAAAATTGTGTAGATGGATGGTGGTGACAATCACACAACATTGTGCATGTGCTTTATGCCATAGAACTGAACTCTTCAAAATGGTTAAAATAGTGAATTTTAGTTAGATATATTTTACCACAATAAAAAAAATGTTTTTCAAAAGACTCAGTTAAAAGAATGAAAAGACAAGCTACACAATGGGATAAATATTTGCAAATCAGATATCCAACAAAGAATTGTAGTTAGAACAAAGAACTCTCAAAGGTCATCAGGAAGAAAATAAGCAACCCAATTAAAAAACAGCAAAAGATTTGGACACTCTAGCAAACAGAATATAAGGATGGCAAATAGCATATGAAAAGATGTCCAACATCATTAGCCACTAAGAAAATGCAAATTAAAACTACAATAAAATACCACTTCACAGCTAATTGACTAACTAAAATACCAACAATACCAAATGCTGACAAAGATGTAGAGCAAGTGTACTCTCATACATTGCTGGTGAAAATGTAGAATGATTCAGCCACTCTGGAAAGTGGTTTGGCAGTTTCTTATAAAGTTAAACACTTACTATATGACCCAGTAATCCCACTCCTAGATATTTACCTTAAAGAAATAAAAATTCTATGTTCACAACAAAACCTGTACAAGGATGTACATATAAGTATTATTCAGAATCATTATAACTTGAAAACAGCTCAAATACACATCAATGGGTGAATGGATAAACAAACTTTGGAACATCCATACAATGGAATACTACTTAGCAAAATGAATGAACTCTTTGATACACACAGCTTGGATGAATCTCAAAGGCATTATGCTGAATGAAAGAACCCACTCTCAAAAGATTATATATCATATGATTCCATTTATATGACATTCTATAAAAGATAAAACTACAGTGATGGAAAACAGATCAGTGATTGCCAGAGATTATGAGTGGAGCTAGGGTGACTATCGATGGACAGTATGAGGAAATTTTAGGGTGAGGGAGCTGTTCTCTATCCTGACTGTGGTAGTGATTACATGAATCTACATGAGTTAAAATTCACAGAATTGTATACCATAAAAAAATCAGGAAATTTTATTGTAAGTTCATTTCGAAAATAAAATATTAGCTATTATGTCACCATCATAATCATCATTAATAGTTTTGCTTTACTGATTAATAAAAAATTCAAAATTAGTTGTGAAATAGATCTCAAAAACATTAAAGTTATTTTATACCTGGTACAATAAACTTAAAGGTATAAAGAAAATATCAACAGTACTAAATGTAAAAGTTTTACAACTTCTACTAGCTCCTTTCATTAATACTCTATACCAGGATAATATGCTCCCTCTGGATCATTTCCTAGTAGACATTGTCATATACTGGATATGAAATTAAATAAGTACTCAACTTCGAGGTCTGGGACCCTAGGTTACATTCCTAAATCTAACACTGTAAGAAAACTCTCGACTTGCCTTTTGTGCCTAATTTTATCTTCCTCTTCATTGAGGTCATGTACTTGTCTGCACTTGTCTTTTTGTGGTATGCTGTGAAGGTTTAAAGCAAGGAGTTTCAAAGATAGGAAACAGAACAGATTCATATACCACCCGCCCACCCCCAAATAACAGGCACTGCTCCAAGTGATTTACACGTATTACCTCAATCCTCCTAACAATCCTAATATATAGCTACTATTAATATATTCTCATTTTACAAATGAAGAACTGAAGCACAGAGTGGTAACATGCCCAAAATCTTATAGCTAGTAAGTGGGGAACCAAAATTTTCCCAGGAGTCTACCTCCAAAACACATGTTCTTAATCAGTATACTATAATGTGTCTCTACAAAAGCCTATTCATTTGTTCTTGTCTTTCTTTCACCACTGCTCTTCCAGATCTATGGTTTCTAACAAATCATTCATTCATTCTCATGGCTTTACCTCTCATCTAAGCATAGACGATTCCTAACTCTGTAGATCTAGTTCTGACCTCTCTCCTGAGCTTCAACTGTTGCATTTCCAACTGCCTCCTAGATATTTGCATTTAATGATCCTGCCATTCTCACAAATCCAACATGTCCAAAATCAAACTCATCCTTTTCCTCAAAATTTTCCCATAAAACTTTCTTAATGTTGTCAACTATTAAGTCACACAGCCTTGAAACATCTGGATTGCCTTTGACATATTCCTCCTTGAGTCTCATGCAACAAGTTTTACCAATTCTTCCTCTGTAATGTCTCTTACAATCACAGCTACCTCTCTTTCTACTTCCCTTGCCATCATTCTAGTCCATATCCTTATGCCTAAGTAACTGTATTACCTCCTAAATCATTTCCCCTGCTTCCATCTCTTCCTTTCTCTCATCATACAGGATGGGGCCAAAGTAGGTTTAAAGTTGTGAGTATGTGAAACATGGAATTCATTCTTTATTAATTATTAATTATTATATTATTTTCCATAAAAACAACTGTAAACCTACTTTTGTGCCACCCTTTATTTCTTGGTCACCAGAGTAATCATTTTCAAATACTGCTTCTCTCATGTTACTCCTGACTCAAAAACCTTTAACCATATCCAAACAAACTGAATAACTAACTCTGTATAGGTCTATACTTCCCACCAAAGAAAGGTCAAAAATTTTATCTACCTTCTCTATCACAACACCCCTGAATATGCCATAGTGCTCACAACATCTGCAGCAACTGAAATGCTTTTTTCCTCTGCTTCCTAAATAATAGGTAGTTTAAAGGAACATTTAACTCTTACCTCTTCCAAGAGGCCTTCTTCAGTCATGCCAATGCATAGTAGCCTTTCCCTCCTCTGAACTCCTACAGCACTTAACTGTATCTAGCATTGTTACTAAAATGTCATGTTTCTCTCAAATTACTGTAATTGGCGCAAAGTCTGAAACCATTTCTTAAACTTCTGTGTACCTTCCCCAGTGCCTAGCAAAACTTATCTGTTAAACTCATTCTTTCTGGTTAAGACAAAGACCCTCTCTCTCTCTCTCTCTCTCTCTCTCTCTCTCTCTCTATATATATATATATATATATATATATATATATATATATATATATAATGTGAATTTATAGTTTAGTCTAAAGACCTTTTTTAACCTAGCCTCACTTACCTTTCCAGTGTCATCTGTAATTCCCTGCTAAGTCTTATATTGCCTGCCACACTGAACTTTTTATTGTTCCCAAGACCCACTAGTTCCTTTTTCAATCCTGTTCCTATTCACCTGTTATCTGTAATGCCCTCTTCCCCTTGTTAACCTGACTAATGCCTGTTAATCCACCAAGACTTAGTACAAATGTCAATTCCTGACTCCCCCAACTAGGCTTAGATGTTCTATATTCTGTGCTCCCTCGGCATTTTATTCACATGTCTACAATAGCAATTAAATACATGCTGCACATTCTTCAAGAGTAGTGATAGTTTGTCTTTCTCCTACCCCCTTCACTAACTCTTCATATATAATGCCCTGATGGTAAATCTCTCTTTCAGTGAAAGAACATATCAAAGTCAGTGACAATCACACACCTTGGTAATAAAGAGCCTTAAGGAAGGAGTGACGATCAGTTCCCTGAAATAAAGACTTTTCTATTTCCATTTCTCGTCGGGTCAGCTGTTTGCTCTTTGCAAATCTCTGTGGCAGGCAAAGGATGCGCTGATGCTCTGAGATCCTTTCTTCAATATCTTGAAGACAGTTCTGTATTGCTTCAGGGGTTGCCCTCAGTCTCGTCCTCTGAAACCAGAGAAATGAGAGGGCATATATATTATAGAGGACACACCCTAAAAGGGATGGTCTGATGCCTCAAGTAAGGAAGAAGATGATCAGAGCCCAGAAATGAGCATTTATCAATGTGGTAGCTAAAAAGTCAAGAAATAGCTTCTCTTTTCCATAGGTCCCTATCCTACAAACCAAAGAAGATTTACACCCAAAACTTAGTTTTGAGAGAACTGAAAATAAAAAGGTTCTCAGTGCCAAGTGAAGAGATGTTATTCTTCATTGTCCGGAAGATAATTGCTCCACTCACCTTTTCACCTGAAACATGGCTCTTCCAGATCAAGATTTCTGTTTCATTGAGCCCTAGTTCCCTGAGAGAAGCAGTTTCCTGGTCCTTCTCATGTAGTGTTTGGAACTGGGACAAAGTCATAGTCCCTGCTGCTTCCTTCCCAAAAGGCTTGTACATAGTACCAGGAGCAAAGCTCTCTTTCTTAGATACACATCTGCAAACCAAGAAGGAAAAGAGTAAGAACATCTTCAGGTTACCCACAATTCACAGAAATGGGGCTAACCATTAAAAGAGGCACAATGAAACTCAGGCAATTTGTCTTTCATGTCCTATTACTAGGCTGAAGCACCACTGCAACTATACCAATAGTCCCCTCATCCAGAACTAATATATAACTGAGTCAAATATTTATTTATCGAGTACCTACCATGCATCAGACACTGTATTGGGGGCTGAGGATTTAACAGTAAAAAAAGATAAAAATGGTTTCTGCTTTTGTGGAAGAACAGTGTAAGGAGAGAAAAGTAAACAGGCAATGATAATACTGGGTTGTAAGTGCTACATGTGTTAGAGGAAGACATAGGAAAGGTACTTAGTGGAATATGGGGGAATTTGTAGAGGAAGAGACACAGAAGCAAAATCCTGCCTAATATGTAGATGTGCACCAAGGAAAGGGGGATGGGAGAGGAGTGTTCCATCCAGGCTCTAAGAAATGTCACCTGGAGGTGAGAATCTATGATACTCAACTTGTTTGCAAAATCAATACTTACTCCTCAATGGACACAGAGGTGTCAAGTTGATGCTGAAGGAGGCTTTTCAGCTGCCTCTCCCCTTCTGTTTCCAACTCTTCCAGGACATGCTCATTGCTCTTCACACAGCTGTTTACCCTGGAATAGATACAGCGATAAATACAGAAAGTAAACAAGACAGTGAAATCTCAAAATACATTTTTTACCTATGTTATCTACCTTTGGTGATCTCATTTGTTCAAAGACTCTTCTCTAATAATCTATTGCCCTTTATTTATGCAAGCATTTATTAAACACCTACTTGCATATAGCATATTGTAAGGTACTGATGGAATCAAAGATATTCAAGACACAGTCCCTATCCTCAAGGAGTTCCCAACTTATTTGGGGAGATGGAATATATGTGTGTGTATCTTGTGTGCATGTGCCTGGCAGAGAGGGGAGTGGGAGAAAGGAGAGGAGAGGGGAGGGCAGAGGAGGGGAAAGGAAAAGGAAAAGAGGGGTGAAGAATGACAATACAAAGAAGCATATGTCAAATTAGTAGGAGTTCACAGAAGTAAGATATAATTGGTAGCTAGAAGGGTAAATGAAGGAAAGAAGAGGGAGAACAAGTATGAGATGTTCTAGGGGATAATGGGAATTTTAATTTAGCTGGTATTACCAGGGTAATTAGACTCAGATTGCAAATGGCCTTAAATACACCAGCTAAGGGGCCTGGGCCTTAATGTATAGGTATTAGAAAGTAATTTATTACATAGTTAAGTGATATGGTACAAGTGATGATTTAGGAAAAATAATGTGGTTATAATATACCTTATGGGTTCGTAGGAAAGAAATCAGAAGAACTATAGCTAAAAAACTATTCAATTTATCAAGGATAAGGTGAAGAAAGTCCAGATTGAAATGCTAATAGTGGACATAAATGAAGAGTTAGATGAGAGAGGCCTTTTGAAGGTAGGGGTCAAAGAGAAGTAAAAGATAAGTTCAAGATTTCAAGCTGTGAAACTGAGTGAACTATGGTACCAATGAAGGAAAAAGGAAGCTCCACATGAAATAAATGGTTTGGAAAGGGAACATTAGTATTGTTTTAGTTGTGTTGAGTCAACTACCTATTACAACTGAAACACCAGCATGAAGTTCCAGGAAATATTCGAAGACATAATGTCCCAGGTGACAGTATAAGTGATATTGCCTAAAAGGAAAGGGAGATATGAGAGAACCGTTGCACAGATAAGTCTCAGACTGTACACGGAAATATCAAGTCAGGATCTAGACTGTAGTGTCAGGATCTAGAGCTGTGAAAAGAGATCTCCAAAGGATAAAGCATTGAAACAAATGTGAAAAGGGTCATAACATTTTATAGCCTAGGTACTATTGTGTAGAAATCTAGGTAATGCTAACACAAGCCAACTCACCATAAATCACTGAAAACACTTAAGAGTATAAAGAAATAGAGGAACCAGGTAACAACAGATTATAAAAGACAAAAACTGAGCTAACTCCATGAGGAAAATAAATATTAAAATACTTTCCTTACAAAGTACCTCTTTATTACTGGGTCCTAGGGAAAGTATCCCTCATAATTATAACAAGATTTTCATGCTCTAGAAAGACTTACACCTATTTTGGGATATGTTAAAATATACTCAGGCCCAGGGTTTTAGAAAAAAATCCCTTTTGAGTATCCTAATTTTTAGTTGTTACTTAGAATTCAGAAACTTCTTACTAAGTTTAAAGTGGCTTTGAGATGAATCAACCATAGCTAAATATATCAGTACATATGCATCTCAAAAAAATGTTGAGTAAAAAAGAGCAAGTCACAGAAAAACGTATACAATATGTGTCAATTTATGTAAAGTTAAAAATGGATAAAAGGAGCAACATTTTGTTTAGGGATAAATTCCGAGGTGGTAAAAACTATTTTTTTAAAGCAAGAGACTGATCAGTACAAAATTCTGGATAGTGGTCCCCTCATGGAGTAGAGAGGAGAAGATATGGCATGGGGCATACTGGGGACTTCTAAGGTACTGCTACTATTCCGGGTCTAAAGCTTGTACTGGGTATGAATCTATTATTATTATTATTATTATTATTATTATTATTTAAAGTTTATATATATTATTTTGCATGTATGAGATATATCATAAAAATATTTTTAATAAGTCATTTTGAGGCAGGGAAAATAAGAACCAGTTTTCTAAAAGATGCAGAAAGTGACAGTGCAAGAGAGCATAGTAGCAGTAAGAATTTTAAATACACCCCCCTATGCCAGAGCGATTATCCTCCCTGCAGAGTGAATGCAAAACTAATTTAATAAGGATACTTTAAAAAGGCTGTGTACTAAAAAAAAAAAAAAAAAAAAAAAAAAAAAAAAAGGCTGTGTACTAATTGGGAAGCTCAGGCTTTCAACAATGACCTGCTAATTTAAAGCTGCCATTTTCTGCAAAACCAGTAGGGGGAACTATTCGTAGCACTGCCTTCGTTTTCCTGACCCTAAATCGATTTTGCACTTGCCTCCTAAATTTGTAGAAACAAAGTATCACTTACTTTAAGATTTGAAAACCTTACATGACGGGGGGGGGGGGGGGGGGGGGGGAGTGGCGAGCACATCTTCTTTAACACACAAACACTGCAAATAAAGGGCCCACCTTGGTCCTCTTTGACAATAAGGTGGAGGCAGGGGGTAGGAGCTGGCCTGGGTTTCTCACGCGGTAGATATCAGTAAGCCAAGACCCTTTTACCTGAGGGGGTCATTGTGCAATAGGAAGAAGCATAGGTAGAAGCAACAGCGCCCGTCTGGCTCCCTGTGCCCGCACCGCCTGGGCTGGAAGGGCATGCCTATGGGAATCCACCCGGCATCGGCCCTTCTTCAACTTTGCCCCGCAGGCCCGCCTGGCCCGTCTCCCCTACATCCTCCTCCTTTGTCTTCCCTCTCCCACGAAACCGCACCCCAAGAATGTGACATACCCCAAACACAAAGTAATAAGAGCCATTTTAAGTTAAAAGGTAAAACAGAGCTCCCTTCGTCGCCTGCTCTCAGACAAGACCTTACCTCTTCATGTTTCCACAGGCCCTTATCTCTAACTTGGGTAAATAGACCGAGGACTTCAAGTCCCAGAACTCTGCGCGCCCAACCCGAAGTAGACTGTACTGGAGTGCAGAGCTCTGGGAATTGTAGTAGCGCAGAGTTAAAGAAAGGGGAAGGGAAAGTAAGTATTGAATAACCGATAGGTTGTAAATTGTTCAAATATTTCTCTTGAATTTCTTGTACAGGTTAAAGGAAACACCCCAAATACCCAGCTCATAAACCCATAAACCGAGAAGTCACCTTTGACTTCTTGACCCTCCCATTCGGTATCACCAAATCCTGGCGCCTTCAATTTCTCTCAAATGTTTCTCTATTCCCCATGTTTTTGTTTCCAACGACTTATTAACCGGCTACCTGCTGTTTTCAGTAGGGTCAACCAGAAGGTCAATCCACCAGTGCAGCCAGAAGTTTGACGATGTCACTTGCAATAATGGTTCTCCTCTTGTAACAGGCTTTTACAAGACATTCACTTCCTGAGACTCAGAATCCCATATGTATTCAGACCTGCGAACATTTTAATTATAGTGAATCAAGAGAGGATAGAGCATAGTGCTTAAGAGCATGAGCTCTTAGTTCCTGGAAATGAAAATACAAATGATCTTAAATAAATGAAAAGAAAGTGGTTTAATCTCACAAGTGGCATGGGAATTTCAAAGTACGCTAACTATAAAAACACCTGACATATAATCCTCAAAGCTATCAAGTTCATCAAAAACAGAAAATCTGAGAAGCTGTCAGAGCCAAAGGACCCAAAAGAGATATGGTGATGACTAGAGATAATGTGGTATCCTGGAACAGTAAAAGGGTCCTAGCAAAAACTAAGGAAATATGAATAAACTTGCACTTTACTTAAAGATAAAACTCATGAGCTGTGATAGTTATGTTGAGATGTTAACACTAAGGGAAACTGAGTGGAAGTATAAAGAACTCTGTACTGTGCAAATTTTCTGTCAACACAAAACTGTTCTAAAAAATAAAGTTTGTTTTTGAAAAGCACACTAAAGTGACATTTCTGACCTACCAGATTGGTAAACAACCACAAATTTGAGAACACACTTGTTTTGTTGAGATTGTGGGGACATAGGCATTCTCAATATATTGCTACTAGGAACATAAATTGGTACCTCTGTGAACAACACTTAAAATCATAAATGCATATTCCCTTCAGCATGGCAATTGAATGTGCATGAATGGTATTCTCAATGCTATATATCCTCATGTATGTATATGTATATATATTCACTGCAATGTCATTTATAACAAAATACTGAACACAACTGAAAAATCTATGATGCGATATATCCATTCAACAGAAAACTGTAGTAGCCCCAAAGATGAACAACTTCTCTATGGACTGCTATGGAACAACTCTAACATATATTTATTGCAGTAGCAAAGCGCAGAACAAAGTATATAGTATGCTTATATTAGAGTAAAAGCAAGGGGGGAGATGTGTGTATGTGTTTGGTTATATATGCATAGAATACTTCTGGGAAAACACTCAGACAAGTAGTAAGTGAATGTCTTCAGGTAGATCTGAACTGGATAGTGAGGTAAAAGAGTGGAAAAACTCCTGATATCTTTATGTATCATTTGAATTTTGAACTAAATAGTACATAATTATTTTTAAATTAAATCAAAAACTTTTTAGATCATAAAAAGTCAAAGAAAAACATCATGAGTTTGGGGGGGGTGTCACAATGTTTGGATTTCTCAGTTCCCACAGTTATTCACAACATAGCACAGTAGGCAACCTGGACTTGAACTTTTGCTTTGGCAAGTTAAAGACTATATGAGTTTCAGTAAGTTTCTTTAACCTATTGAGGCTACTTTCCTGTCTGTAATGTGGGGATAATACCTCAGATAGAGTGACTATAAAGTACTATAAAAAGTGTGGTTTTATGGTTCCATATAAATTTTTGAAGTGTTTGTTCTCTGTCTGTGAAATATGCCACAGTACTTTATAGGTACCCATAGGTACCTACAGTACCTGTAGGTACTTTATAGGTATTGCATTGAATCTGTAAATTGCTTTGACTAGTATGGACATTTTGATGATGTTAATTCTTCCAATCCATGAACACGGTATATGTTTCCATTTGTTTCTGTCTTCCGTGATTTTTTCCTCATTGTTGTGTAGTTTTCTGCATACAGGTCTTTTACCTCCTTGGTTAGGTTTATTCCTAGATATTTTATTTTTCTTTTTGCTATATTGATTGGGATTCTTTTCTTGATTTCTGCTTCTGCTGTTTCATTGTTGGTATACAAATATGCCTTTGATTTCTGGATATTGACTTTGTATCCTGCTATTTTACCAAATTCATTTTTTAGGTTGAGCAGTTTTGCGGTAGAGTCTATAGGATTTTCCATGTACACTACCATGTCATCTGCAAACAATAACAGTTTTCTTTCCTTCTTTCTGATTTGTATGCCTTTTATTTCTTTTTCTTGTCTGATTTCTGTGGCTAAAACTTCCAATACTATATTAAATAAAAGTGGTGAAAGTGCACAACCTTGTCTTTTTCCTGACCTTAGTGGAAAAGATTTTAGTTTTTGCCCATTGAGTATGATGTTGGCTTTAGGTCTCTCATAAATGGCCTTTATTATATTGAGGAATGCTCCCTCTATTCCCACTTTGCTGAGTGTTTTTATCATAAATGGGTGTTGTACCTTATCAAAAGCTTTTTCCGCATCTATTGATGTGACCATGTGATTTTGTGTTTGCTTTTGTTTATGTGATGTATTACATTTACTGATTTGAGAATATTGAACCATCCTTGCATCCCTGGGATGAATCCCACTTGGTCATGGTGTATGATCTCTTTAATGTATTGTTGGATGCGGTTTGCCAATATTTTGTTAAGGACATTAACATCTATGTTCATCAGCGATACTGGCCTGAAGGTTTCTTTCTTTGTTGTGTCTTTATCTGGTTTTGGAATTAGGATGATGTTGACTTCATAAAAAGAGTTTGGGAATCTTCCATCATTTTGGATTTTTTTGAATAGTCTGTGAAGAATAGGGGTTAGCTCTTCCTTAAATGCTTTGTAGAATTCTCCTGTGAGACCATGTGGTCCAGGGCTTTTGTGTGTCAGGAGTTTTTTGATTACTGCTTCAATTTCATCTACTGTTATTGGTCTGTTCAGGCTTTGTGCTTCTTCTTCATTGAGTTTTGGAAGGTTATATTTTTCTAGAAATTTGTTCCTTTCATCTAGGTTTTCAAATTTCTTGGCATACAGTTCTTCTTAGTAATTTCTTACAGTCCCTTCTATTTTCCTGGTGCCAGTTGTAATCTCTCCTCTTTCATTTCTGATTGTGATTATTTGGGTCCTCTCTCTTCTTTTCTTTTTTTAAAATTTTTATTTAATTATTTTTCAAGTACATTTTTTGTCTATTTCTCCGATCCCAGCCCCCTCCGCCCCATCTCCCCACCTCCCTCCCAATTCCCCCCCCCCCCGTCCCAGTCCTCATCCCTGTGTCTTTCATACTTGTTCCTCAAAATCCCTCCCCATTTTTCCCCTTAAATTCCCTTCCCTCTCCCCTCTGGTCGCTGCCCCAAAGGAAAAAACCCAAAACACCCAAAATCATGGAGACTGAATGGTATGCTATTAAACAACGAATGGGTCAAGAATGAAATTAGGGAAGAAATCAAAAAGTTTCTGGAAACAAATGAAAATGATCTCACAACCCAAAACTTATGGGACACAGCAAAGGCAGTCCTGAGAGGGAAGTTTATAGCAATACAGGCCTACCTAAAGAAGATAGAAACATTTCAAACAAACAACCTTACTCTACGCCTGCAAGAACTCGAGGAACAACAACAAAAACAGCCCAAAGCAAGTAGAAGGAAGGAAATAACTAAGATCAGAGCAGAACTAAATGACATAGAGACTAAAAGCACAATTCTTCTTTTCTTGATGAGCCTGTTTAAAGGCTTTTGATTCTGTTTATCTTTTTAAAAAACCAGCTCCTGGATTTATTGATCCTTAGAACTGTACTTTTACTCTCTTTGTCATTTAATTCTGCTCTGATCTTGGTTATTTCCTTCCTTCTACTTGCTCTGGGCTGTCTTTGTTGTTGTTCCTCGAGTTCTTGTAGGTGTATGGTTAGGTTGTTTGTTTGAAATGTTTAATAGCAGCTGCAATTTTGAGAAAGAAGAACAAAGTAGGAGGGATCACAATACCTAATACCACACTGTATTACAAGGCCACTGTAATCAACACAGCCTGATACTGGCATAAAAATAGGCACATACACCAATGGAATAGAACAGAGAGCCCAGAAATAAACCCAAGTCTCTACAGTGAATTAATATTCGACAAAGGGGGCAGAAACATAAAATGGAGTAAAAATTGCCTCTTCAACAAATGGTGTTGGGAGAACTGGACAGCTATGTGCAAAAAAAAAAAATGAAACTGGAGCACCAACTTACACCATACACCAAAATAAATTCAAGGTGGATAAAAGACTTAAATATAAGCTGTTATACCATTAAAGTCCTAGAGGAGAACATTGGCAGGAAAATCTCTGATATGTCACACAGCAACATTTTTACTGATATGTCCCCTAGAGCAAGGAATATAAAGGAAAGAATAAACAAATGGGATCTCATCAAAATAAAAAGCTTCTGTGTGACTAAAGAAAACAGTATTAAATTAAAAAGACAACTAACTGAATGGAAAAACATATTTGTCAATGATACCTCAGACAAAGCTTTAATCTCCAAAATATATTAAGAATTCACACTACTCCACTCTAAGAAGACAACCAACCCAATTAAAAAATGGGAAAAAGACTTGAACAGACATTTCTCCAAGGAGGACATACAGAAGATCCAGAGACACATGAAAAGATGCTCAATATCACTAGCTATCAGAGAGATGCAATTTAAAACCACAGTGAGATACCACTTCACACTGGTCAGAATGCCCATCATAAACAAAGCAATAAACCACAAATATTGGAGAGGCTGTGGGGAAAAGGGGTCCCTAGTTCACTGTTGGTGGGAAT